GATGTCACAAGGGGATAAGCCTGACGTTTCTATTTTTTTTTCATTTAATCCGTTAAATTCTTTTGTTTAGGAGTTTTTAACAGAGTACCACTATTTGTTATTCCGCTGAAATTACCAGCGGCATTTTGATTTACCCAAAAACAATAGATACCCATTCTCTCGTAAATTCAATCCTATAGGAATAATTGTCAATTAAAAAACCGGGGTAGCCCCGACAAAAAACGCGAATAAATGAAAAAGAGAATAGTATAGCAGAGCCACCACTAAATGAAGAATTGAACGGTTTTGCGCTCTCGCGGGTTAAGGAAATGATGTCACAAGGGGATAAGCCTGACGTTTCTATTTTTTTTTCCATTTAATCCGTTAAATTCTTTTGTTTAGGGGTTTTTAACAGAGTACCACTATTTGTTATTCCGCTGAAATTACCAGCGGCATTTTGATTTACCCAAAAACAATAGATACCCATTCTCTCGTAAATTCAATCCTATAGGAATAATTGTCAATTAAAAAACCGGGGTAGCCCCGACAAAAAACGTGAATAAATGAAAAAGAGAATAGTATAGCAGAGCCACCACTAAATGAAGAATTGAACGGTTTTGCGCTCTCGCGGGTTAAGGAAATGATGTCACAAGGGGATAAGCCTGACGTTTCTATTTTTTTTTCCATTTAATCCGTTAAATTCTTTTGTTTAGGGGTTTTTAACAGAGTACCACTATTTGTTATTCCGCTGAAATTACCAGCGGCATTTTGATTTACCCAAAAACAATAGATACCCATTCTCTCGTAAATTCAATCCTATAGGAATAATTGTCAATTAAAAAACCGGGGTAGCCCCGACAAAAAACGCGAATAAATGAAAAAGAGAATAGTATAGCAGAGCCACCACTACATGAAGAATTGAACGGTTTTGCGCTCTCGCGGGTTAAGGAAATGATGTCACAAGGGGATAAGCCTGACGTTTCTATTTTTTTTCCATTTAATCCGTTAAATTCTTTTGGTTAGGGGTTTTTAACAGAGTATAAGCGCCAGGTCAACGATCCGTTGATTTATGAGAGCACTCACGGGTCCTCTGGGTGAAACAGAATCAGATTTACCGGCCTCAACGGAATGTTTTATGATCCATTTGACGAAAAAAAAGATCCCGCCTACGCCTCGAGTGCTATATCCCCACGAAGAAGCTATCTCCACTCACGAATGTTTAAACCCCCCGGACCACCGTCGTCAGAAGACTCTCTGTTAAGAAATATATTGAAATGTGTCATTGGTACGGAATTATTTCCACCCATTTGTGTGGACTATTAGTACTTTCCACTTTGGTATGTAAATTTGCGCGGTCTAGAAGATGTAATTTGTACTCACAGGGTCGTTAAATGGGTAGGAATCATTATCCGGTGGGGTTTATGATGTTTGTCGGACATAAACCCGACGCTACGACGCCTCCGACGTGAACACATATCATGATAATTCTAGGATCTTATGTGCGCATGTTTTTTACGGAGAAAATTTCTGAGTTTTAAGTTCACGGTGGAATTTGCGGGACGAATACGACTCAGAAAATACAATTGTTTTGGGTACTGAAATAGTTTAAGTTTTTGGGAGAATATCCCTAATTTCTAGGAATGTACATTGTTAGGAAAGAAATGAAATTTTATGGACAGTTGACTAGTAATTTTCGGGACAGTTACATTGAATGCGATTTTTAGGGAAAAATTTAGAAGGAAATCATGACATTTCAGGTTTCACTGAAAATTCAGTAAAATTCCAGAATTTTAAGCAGCGTAAGATCAGAATTCCGTAATTTATTTGAATTTACAATCCAATATGAATATTCAGTGCCCAATGATATTAAATTTTTAGTGAAATTTCGAATTTAAGTATTTGTTTCCCCTTAAAATGCATTCAGTGTCATTGTCGTGAAAATTCAAGAATATATTTGCCGGAATTTTCTGGTTTTCTATTCATTTTTAGGTAAAAATGGAACTGAAATTGTCAGTTGGCTTTGATTTTTCCACGAAATTCTGAATTTTCAACTATGAAATTCCTTAAAATTTCCGCCGTAATTAAATTCGATAAAAATTTTCATAAAGTGTACCGGAAATTTCAGACAAAAAAATGACATTTCATGGACAATTGACTACTAATTTTCAGAATAGTGACATCGAATACAATTTCGGGGGAAAAAATGATGAAATTTCAAGTTTCACAGAAAATTCAATAAAATTCCAGAATTTTAAGCAGCATAAAGACGAGAATTCCTTAATTTTTTTAAATTTCCACACTAATATGAATTCAGTACCCACTTGCATTAAATTTTCAGTGAAATCTGAAATTTCATTATTTTTTCCCCCTAAATCGCATTCAATGTCACTCTCCTGAAAATTCAAGAAGATATTTACCGGAACTTTTTGGTTTTCTATTCATTTTCAGGGAAAAATGGAACTGAAATTTACAGTTATCTTTGATTTTTCCGCAAAATTCTGAATTTTCAATGATAAAATTCTTTTAAATTTCTGTGGTAATTAAATTCGATGAAAATTTCCAAAAAGTGTATCGGAAATTTCAGACAAAAACTTTTAGCAGTCTACAAATTTGAAATTGAGTAAAAAATTTAAAAACTACTATTGTTATCATTAATTTTCTAAAATTACTAAACAAATCAAGTAATCGTGGAGCGAAATCCATTCTTAGGTTTTTTCCACTCTATTATCAATCCCGATAAAAAAATATGTGACGTAAAAATAGAATAGTATAACAGAGCAAGTAATAAATGAAGAATTAAACCGCTTTTCACTCTGGCGGGTCAGAAAAATGATGTCACAAGGGGATAACTCTGGCGCTCCCATTTTTTAAAATTTAATCCATTGAATTTATTCCCGTAGAGTTTTCAAAAATTAGCGTAATAAATTCCACCGCTAAAATAAAATAAAAAGTAAATTTATTTCAATGACAGGATACGAATTAGCAATTTACTAGGTCAAATGACGTGTGTGCTCGAGAATAAGGGGGTGCAAGTAAATATATTGCATTTCCGCGATCGAAAGGCGGAGGATGGAGTAGGATGAGAGCGAGTTTAATTGGACTAATCCAAACCCCACAGCTTCCTATCGAGTAATTTACTCCGGTCTGATTACTCCGGAACAGTTATCGCTCGTTGTAGCTACTTTCCGCCCTCTCTCACCCCCTCCAATTAGATCTCACTGCATAAATTCAATAAAAAAAAAACAGTCAGACAGCTTTTCAACGAATTATTACGTTTCATTTTCTCTCACACGTGAGAGGTGCACCTAAAAAGAGGGGGCAAATACAAAACGTTGGAAAATCGTAGCCATTTTCCCTCGTTATCTTTATGGCCTGAGACATTAATTCTCCAGCTCGTGGTACAGCTGGGGCGAAACAGCCAGAGAGAGCGAGGGAGAGAAAATAGTAGTCCACTTAACTTTATTCGCTGGGATTCCTTGATGCATCCGCAGCATCTTCGCTCTTGAAATCTCGCGCCCTCTCTTTCGCTCCCTCGACACAATTATGGACAATTTATTTTGTCGTGTGACATTTAGTCTATCTTAATGTACATTTTCCTGGGGTAGCTGAAACCACCAGGTATAATGTACGCCATCGCTGACATATTGTGCTATGTCACGCGTCTTATGGCATTGTGAGGTGTGATTCCAGAGGGGGGGAGGGGGTCACTTGATTTATGTTCGGAAACTATGATACCACGTGGATTACTCAGGTTCTAGCTATTCATCGACAGACTTTACTACCTTCTTCCATAACTGGGGTTATGATTTTTGTTTCATTATATGTATGGCGCATTTGAGACAAGTAGAACTCTATATTTTACATTTTTTTATCAATTACAATAACATTTTTGTTGAAAATCTGTAATTCTAAGAATTTACTTCTATTAAAATGTTCTAACTACACTGTTAATAATTTTTGGCTGAAAAATTCATGGGAAAATCAATGAGAATTGTAAATTTCATTTCACTTATTCCCGGAAAATTAGGAGGAATTGGAAAAATTCCAATAAGTATAGTCTTGAATTTTAATTAATTGAAAATTCATTGAAATTCGGCACTGAATATTCATGATTTTATTGAAAATTTGAATGGGAATAATTTAAAAAGTGAATTTTTTTCAATTCCGAGCATTTTTTATGAATAATTCATAAACTATCAATGTTCCACCATTAAAATCATTTGGTCGGAATCGTAACAATAGTATATTTCACCACGTGTGGGGCAATTTCGTCTTTAACGTGTGTGGGGTTTACAGCATGAGCCGAAGGCGAGTGATGTAACCACATACGTTAAGGACGAAATTTCCCCACAAGTACTGAACAAAATTTTATGTCACGAAGCCTGAAACCGGCTGAATTAGACACGAGACGCGAAGCGTCGAGTGTGTAATCCAGCCGGTTTCAGGCATGAGTGGCATAAATGTATTTATATTCGTAATTTTACCAGAAATCGATGTCATACCTAAAAAAATCAGATTTTCGAAAGTTTAAACAATTTCAATGATTTATTTATAAACAACGGATGTATCAAAAAACAATAATTCTGTGCAAAATATAATTTGAATGACGAAAAAAAATCGTGATTTTTTTTTCACGCAACGTAATTGACAAGTTTGATGATTGAAAATGGTTGAATCTATAATGTGGTCTATATGACAGTCGTCAATCCTCCAAACTCAATTATAGATTGATAACATAATTCAGAATTTGGATATTTATTTCATGATTAATTTAATAATTACAAATTGAGAAGTACTATTAACAATGGACTTCCTCAAAATTTAACTTTAATTAAAATGTATGATTCTGTCGATGTTTGCATATCTCCTATTGTTCATGATATTGTCATTTTCGGGAATGAAAAAATATCATGGGAAACCTCAACTTCCCGAGGAAAACCGGAAAAACTGTGAAACTGAGCGCATAGTATTGAAAAACCAATATTGATGAATGGAAATCAATTAAAACCTTCATTTTTCAGAGTGGTGAATCGCCGCAGTATGTCACCGACAGACTACGTCAATTTTCGGATCCACTGGCGAGGTTTCAGCCGATCAACGGTGAGTGGTATTAATTTCTATGCAAATTTATTAAAACCCCACTCAATAACCCTATTATCGGAGAAAAAAGCGAGGAAAAAATGGGATGAATGCGGATTTTAATCGGGTTGAAGGGACTAATAAAGTGGATGCTAACAGGATTTCTCGTCATCCGCCATCGCGTGGAGGAGGCAATTGAGAAAAATTAGAATGGTAAAAAATGAGGGAGAAAAAATGAATCGCCAAAACGAACTCGATATCGCTGCTCATCATTCTCTGGGGCTTTTCCCGTTATGCTTTTTCCCTCTCGTTTTCGAGGGACGTGTCTGCTATCGCTGCTTGACGGATATTGATGATGCTACCAGGCTCATCTCTCTCTCTTCTTTTTCAAAGAGCTAACTATTATTTTTTTTTGCGAGGGGAGAAGAATTTTTCTCCTTTGTTTTACTTAACTTCTTCCTTTTCTCGTTTAGTACTTCCGCGTGATGGGTCTGAGTTTGAGTTTACTCCCGCCTTTTAATTGGTGATTTTTCATCCTCGGTGAGGCTTAGTAGGAGTGAAGGATCGAGTTTGCGTTAGTTTTGCGCTCATCTCGTGGAATCTAAAGAGAAGGTCAACTTACAATTAATTTTCTCTACGTAGAAGCTTTGAATTGTTAAAAGAAATTTTTTAAGACAAATTTCAGCAAGAGCACGAGAATTTTCCAACTTACTTGAATTGTGAATGAAAACATAAATACTCAGTATTGAATTGTGGTCAATTTTGAATTAATTGAAAATTCAAGAATACATTATTAATTTTACTATTTTTAATGACGTCCACATATCCACCTGAATTGATACTGAACTGATATTTCTCTGATTGCTTTCAATTTTTATGCAATAATTGAACTAAAAATAGTGAATTTTCAATGATGAAATTCCTGGAAATATTAGTCGAACTGGCACATGATGAAAATTTCAAAAACTGTGAGGGTTATTTTTCTCACTCGGATTTCAGCCAATCAGAGCGCAGTATTTGAGGCTGTCAAACAGTTTTATTTCGGAAATTTCTAAAAAATTTCCAACGGAAATTCACTAGTAGCTTTTCAAATGTTTTTCATCTTTCAACGCATTTCACGTTTAATATTCTGTGTGACAGATAAACAAAAAATGGGTTGTAAATGTATGGCTGTGTAAATGTATCCGGATGTTCGCTGCATTCTGCCTGCCCGAAATCCGAGTAGAAAAATAACCCGTCAAATACCACTCGTGCTTCAAAATTAATCGGATATTTTCCTCAAGCTTCCCTGCCTAGGAACAAGTGTGTCAAATTTTGCAGGTTTAAAATCCCAGGTGCGAAGCACGAGGGATTTTTCTGCGAAATTTGACACAATCGTTTCTAGGCAACGAAGCTATCGGGAAATATCCGATAATTTTGAAGCACTAGTGGTATTACTACTGGAAATTTCAGACAAAAATTTTTAGCAGTGTGCTTGAAATTTGGAAGACTTTCAGCATTACTTTTATTGAAAAATTGTGGGGTAGGTCGCCTAGAAATGCGGATGCATGGTTTTCAGGATATCACATTGTTTACTTCTATAAAAATCCGCAGATCTGAAATTCAAGGAGGAAGAAATGTCTAAAACAAGTGATTGTGTCAATGATTGTCAGACGAAACGACTGATTTTTATTCCCTGCTATAGTAGATTTTCTGTAAGATTTCAGAGACTTCTGCTTGAAAAATTTGTCCCTAGGATTCTGTGACTTAATTTCTAATTTTAGAAATTTTTCTCCACTTTTTTTGTCGTTCGGTGACACTGTTAAAAGAAATTGACTGAATTTCTCGCAAAAAGGTCTTGACTTCGATTTAACGGGAAAAAGTCAATGAAATTTCAAGATTTTTCTGAAAAATTAAGTAAAGTCCCAATTTTTTAGCGGCAGGAAGTGGGAAATTCCACAGTTTGCATGATTTTTCAAGTGACAATGAATATTCACAAATTTTTATGTAATTCCAATGCTAGAGTTATCTTTTCCTTATGAGAACTTATTGGGTTTCTTATTTTCCCCCCTCAAGCTCTGCTCAAAGAATTATCTTTCCTTTAAATTTTCGTTTTCATTCAAAGCAAAGCAATTCCCAAATCAATTTCTTCTCAAGTCCTGGTTTATGAAGTTGATGTTGATAAGAAGTTATACGCTTAGTTTTATTTCATTTTGAGTTAATGGTTTCCTGGAGTAATCTTGATATGTCCGTTCTATCAACTTTGTGATTATTGCTTCAATATCAGAGTGCTGGAAGACACTTTTATCGTTCGAATAAAAATTTCCAATTTTTATTGCTTTCCTTGCGCTTTTAAGTCTATAGATAGCGAAATCCTGTAATCCCTGATGGCTCAGCGCAGCGAGTAAGTTTGCTGATTCGCATGCGAGATGTTGTAAGTTCGATTCCCCGTTGAATAAAATGTTAACCGTCAAAAATTTCCGTCGGATTCCTCAGTTTTCTCCCAGAATCCGTGAATTGTTTTACTGATTTGATGGGACTAAATATCGAAAAATGTGCATTATTGAATGTCGTCCTGTTAACAATAATTTTTTTCAAGGGAGTAGAATTTTCGTCAAGTGTCTTCTACTGATAATATCAAATCTGGGGAATTTTCTCGAAACATTTGGCGAAAATCGGAATTTTCTAATTCAAGAATAGTAGCGATTGGGCAAAAAGTTATAAAAATTCTGATGAAAATTAATTTTCCATATCTTGAAAGCTACTAGAGCACGATAGGTCATATTTTTTTTTCATTTAACATGACATTTTTTACCTTTTCTACAAATCGAGCTCTCGCAAATTACAACAAATTTATTTAATTTCTCAAACAATGAAAATTCTTTTGCATTGAGGATATCCAAGTCCTTGATTCAAGTTAGCAACTTTCTTAAAGCAACATTTCAGTTTTGCCGAAAATCTAGCTATCCATACTTTTCCGGATTTTTCATTCTTGAATAAATATTTTCTGTAATTTCTGCAATAAATGTTGTGAACAATATTTTTAAATCTCATTGTGCACGGAGAAAATTATTTGGTGAATTTCACCAACTAGCTGTTGAAAGAATGAATTACGAAACCAGTTATTGAATTTCAACAACTAGTTGCTGAAATTTAACAACCAATTAATTAAAATTTAGAAAAGATTTTTCATTTTCATTCGACAACCAGTTGTTAAATATTCGATTAATGTTTGTTAATTTTTTAATGGATCAAATTTAACAACAAATTGTAGATTTTTGCGAAAGCAACTTCTAGGCGAGACATTGATCAATTATCAAGATACAACTGATTGCGGGATTGTTTCCAAATATGTATATGCTCTCACCATCTAGTTTGGTAGTCAAAATGTACTGAATTAATTGAATTAGAGGCTCTGTAACTGGTTGTTTTTTCTTGAAATCAAGAAATCATCAAAATCTTCTAAAAATCATGGAAATCACGAGAAATCCGAAGAATTCATGATTTCTAATTCTTATTGAGAAATCACAGAAATCATTCAAGAAATCCCAGGAAATCATCCCATTCTGGAAATCAGTGAGCCAACCGATTGAGGAGTGGTCAGCCCCTCAAAAAATACTTTTAGTCTGTGTTATAAATTGTGAAAAGGACTTACCCCAGAACAAGTGGTTCGAACTACTTTGATATCCTACAGATCAATATTTGTGATGATTCGAAGTTTCCCTTTCAGTTTTTGTATCGCGTAAGAGGAAGTCGAAAGAGAGGAAAAAAAAAAACGAAAATACTTGTACATCTTCCTCCTCTTTTGTTCTGTTTTGCAGCTTTTCTGAGCTCAACTGTCGCTTTTAATGAAGCACGATGAATCAAATAATCTGTGGTATTTAAGCAGGGATTTTCTCGGGCGGTAGAAGAGGCAAGCGACATCTACGAGATTTTAATTAGCCCTGAGGTCTCTCTCTCCAGAAATGGTCCCGAGGAAAACCACGGGAAATTGAGAACGTTAATTGAATCTCTCCCCCTGAATCTGTCGTTTTTCTCCTCACGTCTCCCCATCGATTTTCATTTTATTTCTTCTCTCAGTCGCTTTCGGCCAGAGTAAATCTTTCAAGTTTAAGTTTAAAAGAGATTAAATGTTATTTCTGAAAAGAATAAACGAACAGCATTGTCCTGGACAGTTGTATTTACCTTCGGATATGAAGTTTCAAGATTTTGCTGGTAGTTAAAGTTTCTAGTAATTCTCCCTCCCTCTCATGTTCGAGCCGTGTTTATTCAATGTTGGGGGAACTTATTTGAGTTATGAAATGAGAAATTAATTCCCTGAACGTTGAATAAATTGTGGCAGAGGAGGATGTCTTTTCCGAAACTTGGAGTGGAATTTGGCGATAAAAAACTTGAGGGATTTTGATACATTTTATTAAACAGATGCACCAGTTTCCATCAATGATGTATGACCTATTTCTTGGTAAAAATGGGGAGATTTTTTATCGGAATTGTTGCATTTTGTACCCCACTGGTAGAACATTACACTGTTAGAAATTTTTTGAAATTTCATGGTAAATCTGGTAGTAATTCTCATAAAAGTGACATTGAATCCGATGTAGGGGGAAAATGATTATAAAATTTCAAGTTTTAGATAGAATTCAAGGAAATTCATGAGCTTTCAGTAGAATTGAGACGGAGATCTCACAGCTTGATTGAATTTCCAATGAAACCTGAATATTCAGAAACAAAATGATATGAATTTTCAATTTTTCCTTGAATTTTCCTGATTTGGGCAAACTTTCAAGGAATAATTGAATTGAAAAATCAAGTATTCTGTTGATTTCCTGCTAATTCAATCTGGAAATCTACGGAATATTTGATTTTTGATTTTTGGTGGCGATCACGAGATTTCCCGAAGTTTCAGTGGAAATTAACCCCTAACGTACGAGGTCGATGCATGGTATCGACCCATGTGAATGTGAACGCTTGCTTTCAAAATTTATTATTTCCAAATCTATAAGACTATATATAATTAGAAAATATCTTCTTTTATTTTCAAA